GGCCTGCCGCCATCTTTTCTTGTTCTGTCTTGCTGGCGGGCTTCTCTGATGCCCTCCTGTGTACCTTAAGATAAGCCACAGCCCCTCTCTTTTGCCTTCAGCGTTCTGTCTGCGCTGCTGACTTATCCAGTCTTCTGCCGTCTTGCTTCTATCCTACGTAGTTAGCCTCTATAACTAAAGCCCAGGTCAGCTGTAACCTCTCCCGGGTCTTCAGGACTCTGTTTACCAAGACGACTTCTCTGATCTACTGCTATGCTCCTGAACTCTCCTTTGCTAGTGCTAGCAAGCTACCGCCTCTATCGCTATGGTTCTTTGGCTAAAAATAATAACAAATAATAAATAATAATAATCATAATAAACATTTAAGGCAGAGTTTCATATAAGGATAAATAGAAGTAAAAGAAAGCACAAAGTAAAGGAACAACACTCCTTTACTTTCTCATAATTAACCTCATCAAGCTTATCAACTTTAAGGTGGGTAAGATTACTTTTAATTAATATCACATGGTCTGCATTTATGTTGAGATGTTTCTCCCATCTAACTTACCAGTTAGATCCTTAAGGCGGATGTTGTTTTTTCCCTGACAGCAGCAATCTGGCTATCAGAATCGGTGCAGGACAGGGGAAATATGCAGTTCCAACATGTCTTGACTTATGTGTTGTCTCAAAAGCGCATTGCTTCAAAAATAAATATGAGACCACACCTAAAGCTATAGTCTAAAATGAATTCCCTCATGCTTATTTGCTTTCCACACAGAGCGTTAGTTGAAGAGCGAGGCCACTGTTAGCCTGTTTATTTTTTGTTTTGATGAAATATGTTGATAAAACCTATTGGGGACATTCCTATTGCCCTGTTTCCTAAATGTTATGCTTTGCATTTGAATGTCTAAATTTTGACACTTTCTTTTTTTACTCATCTTGATCTTGACTTTTCAAGATATTTTAAGACAGCTGCTGTTAATAGACTTCACTTTTGGTTCCGATGGTACAAAAATGTTGGTCCAAACATCAGACCAGGGGAAGGGGAAATCTAAACTGATCACGGTGTCTATGTCACGGTCTGAAGTCTTGTATCTGTTGTTTGTTTGCTGTGGGTGATAGAAACAAGGTGGTTGAACCCAAGGACAGGATCAGTCAACGTCTGCTGGGTAAATATTTATTCCACAGGGATCCAACATCCAACCATCTGTTTAATAATGTGTAGCTGCTCCAGGGTGCACCATGCAATTGATAGAAAAATAAGCATATAGAGGTGCTTTAAATCAGATCTTGTTTTGGTGTGATTAGTTTTTCAAAGGCGTACAGAAGAAACAGTTTACTTAATGATCAAGTCTGCTTTGTCTCAATCAATACCTTCTGTAGTTGAGAAAGCTTTAGATAGAAGTGAGTGTCTTATCAATGTCTTCTAAGGTCATGTGGGCCCCAATAGAGGCTTTAGTTACGACAGAAGCTTTACATAAGAACTTTGTGTTTGTTTAAAGAAAAAAACAACTTTAAAGTAAAATTAGAATGCAAACAAATGTATTTTATAACTTTTTAAAAATATTTTTAAATGGAAAAAAAACATCTGTAAGATTTGCTAAACTTGCACATGGTGCAGCAGGCAGACATGTGGTTCACTACATGTCACTGTCGTTTTGATTGGCTTAAAGGATCCTATAGAACATGGACTTTGATTTCATGGCAATTGTGCACTGATGTGCAGAAACACTATTTTCTGCTTGTGGATATCCGACTAATGAGGTTCGTCTGTATGTTTTGGACCAAAGTGTATAATCCTTTTCTGCTGGCTGAAACTGGACAGTAACCGCTGAATGTGCACAAGCTCTCATCTTTTCTTGTCACTTTTATTTCAAACATGGTATTTATTTATAAAATAAACTGTGTTGTTAAACCAACTTATGAGGTAAAGATATATTTTATTTCCCAGAGATTATTATAAAAAGTTTTTTGGACCAAATTATTAGACCTACGAGCCTCTGCAATCTGGATGTTCAGCTTTGGTCTGTGTTGACTAAGCAGATAAGTTGTTCTCGTGGAAAAAAGATGGCATGCAAGACATACAAGTACATCTAAGAATTTGTTTTGTTGTTTAATTTATTTGCTAATTCTTAGAAAGTAAACTTCTGTGTTTTATACAGTAGTGGAATAAGTCCCACCATCTTTCATGACAAACAGATTGATAAAGGTGCTATTAACATTTACTTTTCACCACGTTTTGTTACAACCAAAGCAAAGTAATCCTTGGATAGAAGGCAAAATCTGTTAAATTTAGTTTGGAAGGCTATTTACACAGAAAGCATTCATTATTTGCTCAGGTAATGTAAATAGGTGGCAGTGTGTCATCAGTAATCTTGTCTGAGATGCAGATTTGGCATGAAACTAGAGTTATTACTACAATTCATAAACAACTTTTGCCTGAGTCCTTTCATAGAAAAGTATATTTTTTCTTTGAGATAAATCTACTGCAAGAAAGGCTTTACCTGTTCGTAAACCTCTAAGCAAAACTCACTTCTGCAAAAAGATCAATGGGAATAAATAAATGAAAAAACAGCCAAAGTATTAAAAAGCTCTTCTAGAAACCCGAAGAATTGGTGATAGATCGCTTGCAAAGATTAGAGTAGTTCTGATTTTTTTCGGTCCTGTCTTTCTTTTTTACTTTGATTTATTTTCAACATATAGAGAGATACCCTATGTTTGTAAAATAATGATTTGTAATGGCCTTCAGTGTCTGTGAATGAGTTTTAACCTCTGCAGCAGTAATTGGTGATCTATGGTGGATTCAGAATCTCATGTTCCAGCATGTCGAAGGGAGAGGTCTCTGCAGCTGATGGTATATTTGCCACCCTTCTGTGGAAAAACACCCATTTGGCTGTTAATTTGTTGCCTCCACAGTCTGTGAGAACGACTTCACATATCTGGGGCATTATGTTTGTCGCTTAAGCCCTTAGGATAACATATACGTCCCAGGTCTTTGCAGATACAGACACACATATGATTAAACTGTTAGACTTGATCCTTTTTGGTCACAGGTTCTTGCTTGCGCAGCTTCACTCTTTCTACCGCAGGCTGCTTTGTCTTGGCAAAGTGAAGGAAGAGCAACCTCGTTTATTTACACCCACTGGCACATTGTTCCCTGCAGATCCTCACCAAGGTTACCGTTCTACGCTGGGTCTAATTTAGCTGCTGGGGGAAAGGCAGCTATTGACAGTAAAAAAGGAAAAACTGTGAAACATCCAAGAACTTTTCTCAGCCTTGTCAAGTTGAGCCTTGCCAAACACCGTCATACCAAACATATTCACCTCAGACATGTAGCTTTAAGAGAAAAGCACCTAGGAACAGAAATATGGGCAGTTTGGTAGTTTTGGGATTAAGGAAACTGCTGCAGTTTTTTTTCTCTGTGCCAATGAAAACCAGCCAATTTACATGCTCAGAGAGGATTAAAGAAGGGACAGATGAAGATTTCATCTGTCAGCCTTGATAGTTGAACTTCTTCCTCCAAAAATAAAGGGACTTACTGAGGATTAAAATGAAATGAAAATGAACAAAAACACAAAAGGATAAGAATTTGACTTTTGAAGAATTTGAAGGGTTGTGTTTTCAGGAGGAGTTAAATTAGGATAAGTGTCAGTTTAAAGCACCATATCAGTTGTGTCATCGTATGATTATAGAAATGAGAGAGATTAGAAAGCATAAAAGCCCATTTCTGGTTGGATGTCTGCATAAAATCGGACACAACAAAAATGGTTCCCTGACTGTGTACGCAATATTACCTGCTGCTGGAAGCTCCCTGGTCTTTTATCTGATTTTTGATCAGTTCCTTACAAAGTATTTACACCCCTTGTCACATTACAAAATAAAAATGTCACTGGATTGTGTTTATTTTGTGTAACCAACCTTCTCAAAGTGGATGTTGTTTGCAAAATACAAGAATAAAAGATAAAATCTTAATCCATGGCATGCATTTAATTGACTTGATTACCCCTAAATTAAAAACCCTGCAAACAGCTTTGTTCCATATTATTGTAACTAGTGAAAGACTAGTAATTACAAATACAGATCAGGAATACATTTTTAAATAGGTTTTAACCAGGATTAAGCTATAAAACAATATCTCAAGCTCTAACCATCCAACAGAGCTCTGCTTGGTCCGTCATCGCAACATGGAAAGAGGACAGGTGGACTTCAGATATACCAAGATATGTAGACCCATCTGAATATACAGGTTTAGTAAGGAGAGCATTGATTGGTTGAGTATTTTTTAGATAAAAGATATTGAGAGCTGCTGTCGATGATCCAAAGAATTAATTGTGACTCCAGAGCTGCAGGCTGGAGACCCCTGGTGATGATTAAAATGCATCCATATGTTAAAATGGTCCTATGACATTTGAAAACTAAGTCATAGTAAAGAAAATAAAAAAGCTATATCTGAATTTAGAAAAGAAAACATGATATAAGATTCTGAGGTTTGAAGAGCTGCTGAGACTTGCCCTGTAGGAATCCAGCTGTTATGGTAGCTGATCGATTATTGAATGGGGGGAGGGGGTTGTATAGCAGCGCATGCAAGTTTTCCAGATTTTTTTTTTCCGTCACAAAAGATGTGATTTAGATTTTAATATTTCTTCACCTTTTTGTTTCTGGCTTTCATATAAATTCCCATAAAACACATAGAGTTTGGTGTATCAGAACAAGAGGAAACGGTCAGTTGCAAGGCGCTGTTTGGGGATGTTGGATCAGAACAGTTAGACAGAGAGAAGGCATTTGTAGTTGAACCTGATGTATGTTCACCTCTGAGTCTCTTGAGGACTTGAAGTTGTATTTTTTATGCAGCCCATTCCTTGGAACATGCTTTGTATAGATAAACTGTTTTTTTTCTTTTTTTTCTTGTACAGTTCAGTAATGACAGCTAGTCTCAGTGTGAATGTCTTTAATTTTTTTATATTTTAGTTAATCAGGTTTAACCTTTTAAGTCTAACTCTTTTTGTCCTTTCCTTGTGCAGTCTCGTGTGCAGCCGCCATCATTCTGTGCTGCAGGGCCGACCCCAACATGTCTTCCAATGGAGACGTTAGCATCCTTGACAGCTCTGACAGCTTCTGGGAGGTACAAATAAAGCTTTGCACAATATAATATTGCTTTGCTTAAATTTAGGGCTAAAGTCATGGAGTTTTATTGTATTTTTTCTTTTGTATCAGTTTTTGGGATGTTATAGAGATGACCTATTAAGGGATATTTCTAAGTACAGAATAGGGTGGAAACCATTCATCGTGATTAATCTATTATTGAAATAATCGTCATCTAATTTAGTAATCCATTAATCTTTCACTGGAGTATAGAGATTCTAAAGCATGCCATTAGCTGACAGTGAACCACGCAGTAATTATACCAAGATTGTAAAATAATGTATATTCATTTTGCATGTAAGATAAAAAAAAAACATTTTCATCTCTCAATATGCTCTATCCAGAACTCGAGTGTAAAAGGTTTAGTTTCACTGGTCCAGTTTCGTAAAAAATCTTCTTTAAGGAACCTTTTGCTATCCGATTCATAATCAATTCATCGAAGAAGAAAAAAATCGACAAATTAATCGATTTGCAAAATAATCGTTAGTCTCAGCCCTAGTCCAGAACCCTCGCAAATCCAGGGCTTTTAATACTGAGCTAAAGCCGGGATTTTTCCCTGTTTTTAAATCTGTGCTGTGCCACTTCCAAAAGCTCAACCCCAGTTTCTGTTCCTGCAGCCAGGTAACTATAAAAGGACTGTGAAGCGGATTGACGATGGCCACCGGCTGTGCAACGAGCTCGTCACCTGCTTCCACGAGAGGGCCAAGATCGAGAAGAGCTACGCTCTGCAGTTGAATGACTGGGCCAAGAGGTGGAGAGGAATTGTTGAAAAAGGTCAGTTATTTCAGTTGCAATTATGTATTATTTTTATATTGAAAGTCCAAACTAAGATCATAGGGTGATGCCACAACAATGATGCAACGAGATGTCAAAAAAAACTGGGGAACCTATTAAAAATGCCAGCAAGTTTTTAGGCTCAAAAAAGGTCAACTGTAAGTATTAACAGTTTTCCATCCAACAGGCCCTCAATATGGGACCCTGGAGAAGGCATGGCATGGCTTCATGCAGGCGGCCGACCGTCTCAGCGAACTGCACATGGAGCTCCGGGAGCGGCTGCAAGGGGAGGACAGTGAGAAGGTCCGCAACTGGCAGAAGGGTGCATTTCACAAGCAAATGATAGGAGGCTTCAGGGAGACAAAGGACGCAGATGACGGATTCAGGAAAGCTCAGAAACCCTGGGTCCGCAAGTTAAAAGAGGTGTGGAGATAGTCTAGTCATCCTTCGACGCTCTGTCTGTTCCATCTTTTTGTGTGTTCATCCCTCCAACAGTCCTCCTGTCTTTCTCCGTTTGACCTGACTTCCATCCGACTCTCCATTTATCAAATTTTTCCAAAGCCTATATTTAAGTTTAAAATAGAAACGATACATACTGTTTGTTTGTCCATTTCGTACTTAACCTCTAATACTTTCAACATTTACAAAAACAAAATCTATGGAAATTAGAGGCTAAAAAACACTTTGTGGAAAACATCCGGTCTCTGAAAAAATATAAAATACACAATCTTGGTTCTGCATCACTTTGAATAAGATTTGCATGAATCACGGTAGTTAATTTAAAACCTGTGTTTTTTTATTTTATATCTCCGTGCATAAAGGTTGAGTCCAGCAAGAAAAGCTACCATCAGGCCAAGAAGGAGGAGTGGACAGCCGTTACCAGGGAAACGCACGCTAAGGCTGACCCGTCCAAATCACAAGAGGAGGTGCGCAAATTCACGGTCCGAGTGGAGCGCTGCAGCCAGGAGGCTGAGAAGGTATGAAGCTAAAAAACATGCAGAAAGAGCTCATCTTGCTGCAGTCAGGGTGTGTCAGTTAGTCCAGTAAAACACACTGGCATGCGCCTCTGCCTTTAAAACATGACCGGGCTTGCATCTCTTCTGTTTCTGCGTGGGACAAAACCTCCTGCAGGGACCAAAAAGTAACAAAATCATGGAAATCTCAGTCTGAGTAAGATGACAGATCTGAAACGGGTTCTTTTATTCAGGGAGTGAGTTTTTAAACCTAGCAGTAAGAAGTGGTGCACAAACACAAGCATGTGGAGTTTCAGGCTACAGTTGTGAGCCGCCACACCTACAGGCAGGTAAATGAAACTTTAAAAACCACCCTGGTTGTTTGCATAACAACGGTTGCGGTTACTGACAGCATGAGGGGAATTGTCGATCCTTAACTGTTCCTTCTGAACCTGTAAAGACCTGAGGAATGTCTTTAAAGAAGCGCTTTAAAACCTGAGCTGTGGTGAAAACCAAGTCTCACTGAAGCAGGTGGATGTAACCAGTAACAGCTCCCTGATTGAACCACACTGTGGCTTTATTTGACAACCTTTATAAAGTGATACTAATGCAGTTAGTCTGGGAATAACAGGACAGTCAGACCACAAAGTGAGATGATGCATATTAGCGGTTGTATCTACTGTATATTTAATAAAATCACGAAAGGTATTATAACTTGTATTATATGCATTTTTTCAAATCTTATTTCATTTGAGAGTAACCATGATGATGTTTTAAACTAAAAAAGATCAAATGGAGCCTCTTAAATGGTGAAATGTTAGCCAGCCTCAGTCAGAAATACTATGTTTTTGTGGGTCAGATACTATTCAAATGTCATAGTTACAAGTTTAACTCCTTCCGGAACCCTCTCTATATGGGGCCAAAATGGTAGCTTTAATATTTGCAAATGTGTGTGGAGAGTTGTGTGTCTGTATCTCGATTTGTGTGTGTGCAGTGGGATTTGAAAATGTGTAAATAAATCTGTAAATGTGTGAGGAGATTTGTGTGTCTGTACAACAATCTGCAAATGTGTAAAACTACTTGTGTGTAATCCGTTTTGCAAATGTGTAAAGAATCCACAAATCACAGACACAAGACACAAGTGTCTCTGTGTGTGCTTACAGATTGATCTACACATTTGCAAGTCTCAGTACACATTTGCAGATCTGAATACAGATTTGTGGATTTTTTACACATTTGCAAGTCTCAGTACACATTTGCAGATCTGAATACAGATTTGTGGATTTTTTACACATTTGCAAATCTCAGTACACATTTGCAGATCTGAATACAGATTTGTGGATTTTTTACACATTTGCAAATCTCAGTACACATTTGCAGATCTGAATACAGATTTGTGGATTTTTTACACATTTGCAAAACGGATTACACACAAGTAGTTTTACACATTTGCAGATTGTTGTACAGACACACAAATCTCCTCACACATTTACAGATTTATTTACACATTTTCAAATCCCACTGCACACACACAAATCGAGATACAGACACACAACTCTCCACACACATTTGCAAATATTAAAGCTACCATTTTGGCCCCATATCTCTACTTCCATACTGTTTGCTAGCTGGCTGCCAAGTCTGCTAATTCAATTCATTTTATTCATATAGTGCCAACACATGTCATCTCAAGGCACTTTACAGTTCCTTAGATCATACAGTCAAATTGATTTAGAGTTTTCTATCTAAGGAAAACCACTTGATTGCATCCACTCATTCCCTCACTCTTAAGCATGCTTGTAGTTGGTTAGGATCCTATCTAGGATCTGGCAACACCAGAGCACTGTCTCATATGAATTCATCCTGCTATTCACATTGGTGTATATTCCTTTCTTGTCCATGTTTCCATGGAAACTAGAATTACAATATTTTAAGATTTTGGACCCATCAAAACTTGTAAAAGAATTGTCCTTAAGCTATATTATTTTAGTAAAATTATAGGGACATTACAGAGTTTGTGCAGTAGAGTTTTTAATGATACTGCCACCTGTGGCAAAAACACAGAACTGCAGCACCGTTCAGCTCACACTCATACCTGACAAGAATCTTTTTTTTTTGTTCCTTTTTTCCACCTTAACGTGGAGTTTTCATTGGTCTCTGAGCTGAGCTGAATGCCAGTTGCTTTAGTATCTACAAAATCCATCTTGAATATACCGTTTTGATTGTTTGCTAGGTTTGACGTATTTAAAGGAAAATTCCGGCTTTTAACACTTTTAGCCCATTTTCTGTAGTGTCCAGGATGAAATCGAATGATCGACACCAAAATGTTGACAATTGGTCCTGTCTCTGCTATTTGGCTGCTTCAGAATGGCTTCCATTGTGCATGTCCGATAATGTCCTTAAAACAACCTTAAACGTTCTTTTTTTAAAATATGCTACTCACCGGGTCGTCGGCGCTGTTCAATGACGTTCCAAAAAAAGTTTCGTGTAGAAAAACCGTTCCTGTCTTGTTTTATTTAGCATTTTGTAAATCCCAGAACTATTTTTTCCGATACATCACAACCGCTTATAAACTTCCGCTTCCCGTTCGAATCTGAAGCGTTGCACACTCCATACCACTAGTTGGCGACGGTATCCTCTACCGTCAAACTCAAAGTCCAATATGTCCTCCTCAAGAATCCACCTTTCAGATTCCATTTTCAGAGTTTTTTAAAGTGTTTAACAGAGATGTTAGCACCTCGACGTCGGAGTACACAGAGTGAAGCAGAAACACTTGGGCCTTGCGAAAAGACTACAACTAAGTGTAAACAGGCCCCATTTCCGTTTCCGGTGGCGGAGGGATATTGACTATTCCAACAGAACTCAATGGGATTTACAAAATGCTAAATAAAACACTACAGGAACGTTTTTTCTTTACGAAACTTTTTTTGGAATGTCATTGAACAGCGCTGACGACCCGGTGAGTAGCATATTTAAAAAAAAGAACGTTTAAGGTTGTTTTAAGGACATTATCGGACATGCACAATGGAAGCCATTCTGAAGCAGCCAGGGGGGGATTCTGCATGAGTCAAATAGCAGAGACTGGACCAATTGTCAACATTTTGGTGTCGATCATTCGATTTCATCCTGGACACTACAGAAAATGGGCAAAAAGTGTTAAAAACCGGAATTTTCCTTTAATATGGACACACTTGTGTGTTTCCTGGACTTTTACAGCTGCTTTTTGTATCTCTGCCTCTGTCTCATTGAACCCCAGTCAGCTTCTGCAGATGGCTGCTCACACTGAGCCTGGTTCTGCTGGAGGTTTCTTCCTGTTAAAAGGGAGTTTTTCCTCTCCACTGTCGCTACAAGGATGCTTAGTGTGAAGGATGGCATTCGAGTCAATGAGTCGGTAAAATCAACTGGTTTTCCTTAGATAGAAATTTTTAATCAGTTTGACCGTATGATCTGGTGAACTGTAAAGTGCCTTGAGATGACATGTTTTGTGAATTGTCGCTTTATAGATAAACTGAATAGAATTGAATTGAACTTGATGTCACAACTGCTGAACGTGCTGGAACTACTGACAAGATGTAAAATCAGGAAAATAGGCTTATAGATGCATCAGCGCTGAACTACCAAGGTGTCAGTCTGCTCATCAAATGATGTTTTAGTTGTAAAGAGTCGAATAAAAAAGCTATTTTGAATTTATTTTTCAGTAAAAACCAACACAGTGTCTCTTTAATACTTTTTTTCCCTACACCACTCTGTGCATTTATTCTTTCTGAAAGAATAACAGTTTTAATGGAAAGTAGTAGATGGCACCTTTACATTTTGATTGAATCAAACTTTGAATATGCAGAGATTAACTGCTTAGGTGTTTTTGCATGTTTGGTAGGCAAAGGAGCGCTACACCAAGGCCCTGGAGGAGCTGGACCGTTGCAACCCACGCTACATGGAGGACATGGAGCAGGTGTTTGACCTCACGCAGGAGGCAGAGCGCAAGAGGCTGTGCTTCTTTAAAGACGTCCTGCTGGACATCCACACACACCTAGACCTGTCCGCCAAAGAGAGGTAGAGCAGTTGTATGGAACCGATAAATGTATCTGCAGAGGAAAATGCTATGATATTAATATATGCATTGTCCCTGATGGAGTGAAGGCATCCAGAGTCTGATGCATGTGGAAACGTGTGTATGTACAGAGGGGTTAATGGAAAACCTGAGCTGTTGTCCATTAACTGTTGACCTCTGGGTTTATTTAAACAGGCTGATGTTACCATGGTAAAGTCCAAATCAACATATTGAACAAAATAACTTTAAAGTTGCCTCAATAATTTTTTTAACAAACAGTCTGATTGTGGTGCACTGAATTAAAACTGGTTTACAGGTCAACAATACCCATTTCCTTTTTATTTATTTTTTGATCATTTTAAATGTCTTAATTTCCCCTACAGGACAGATGTAGAGCTAATGAAGGGGATGAAATAACTTCACCTCAAAACAAAATCTTGTTTTTAATGTTTTTACACACCAACAACATGAGAACTCTCATATTTCATGCATGTAACTAATAAATCCCTTTTTGTAGAGCAATATTTGACTAATAATCACTTCGAGCTGTTCAGAGTGCGTCAGTTTGTTTGGTGCATCACCATGATGAAGCTAAAGGTTGCAAATGCTGTTCTATTTTTGATCAATTTACCAAGAGAAACTTTTTCATTAATTCACAGTTTTGTGAACCTGTACCGGGATCTGGGTGAGACCATCCGAGCAGCCAATGATGCTGAAGACCTACGATGGTGGAAGAATACCCACGGACCGGGGATGAGCATGAACTGGCCCCAGTTTGAGGTATGTAAACACTTGCACGCTCAGGACGTTGGGGAAATGTTTTATTCTCTGAAACGCTTCACAACCTCTGAACATTAACTCTCAGTTTGCAAACTGGTTGTAAAAGAAGAGACGGCTCTGGGTGGACTCCATCCAGAGTCTCCTGCTTGTATTTGTGCAACATGCTGAATATTAAACAGGTTTGCAGTGAATGCCTTGTTTTATAGCTGAGAGCAGTGAGTGGGGTCAGGAATGTCAAACACACAGACACACACTTTCTAGTCTTGCTATATGTAGTGAGGACCATGTTCTGATTCCCATTGTCTTTTAGTCTTTTTTAACCCTTTCTATCCCAACCCTGATAATAAACCTAACCACCATCATTGCATACGTAAATCTAACCAGGTCTCTTCAGCTCTGCAGACTGCTTCACAGATGATCAGGAAGATTATAGCATCAGGGTCTTAAATGGTTGACTCTCATTTACTTTGTATAAGATCACCTTGCTTGCAGAGTTTAAAGAGAACAGAAAAAGTCCTGTATGCTGGAGATTTCAGGTGGTAGTACCTTTAGGTGCCTAAATATAGTCTTTAGAAAAGCGAGATATCTCTATGTATGTGAGAATAATTTATTTTCCTCCTTCAGTGTTTGTTCCTGACTTGTAGGCAATGAAAGATAATTCCTTTCCCTTTTGGTTTAAGATGATTTGCAGATCTGGTTTTTGAAGCATAAGAGAGATGTAGTGACTTGGATTCCTGCCTTTCAGCCTCCGCACACCTCTGACTGTGGGCGTTTGGATAACATTGGTGTTTCATTTTGTAAAGCAAAAAGAAAAGCTAAAATGTTCGACTCCAAAACCCAGAAAAAACAAAAAACAAAACTAGGGTTATATTCTCTAAAATTTTTTGATTGTGTGGGGGCATCTTTAGAGTGAAAAGGTGGGAGCTACTCTGAGATCACTGTTAGTTAATAGGTTTAGTTTCTTTCCCCCTTACTGCCCTGCCAGAAATCAGAACGTTTCGAGCTACACCTCATACTTCTTGCATATTAACTGCAATCATAAAAAACTACAACCACATACTACCAGAATTTAAATGGAAAGAAGGCTTGGATTGCTAGTTTGCTCATTTAATTGTTGGTATTAAGTATAGAGTAGCTATATTTGGCAGCATTTTCATAGCTAACCACTAGGTGGCGTCAAAGTACCTTCAGTATGACTCTTTTAGGAGTTGAATTAGCATTGACAAACATTAATGGTACCTTGAGTACTTTCTGTTTGGAGCATTTAATGAAGGGTTTATCTTGTGTAAAGCCTGACCTCTGAGGCTTCTTTATTTCCCCTTTTTTCGTGTTTTTAGATATGCGAGTACCTTTGTCATTGTAGTGTTTTTGCTTGTTTCTTTTAACCATCCTCACGTTTTGTTCCACGGTTACAGTCAGTAGGAAAGTTGGCAGGGAGAGACCTGTCTCTGTCCTCAGAGGAATCTCCCAGCGTTCCCACAGTGCTGCTGACACGCAAACAAGAGGCCCTTTGTTAGCAACACACACACACTCGCTCTCTCCCACAGACTCGCTTACAGCCTTCCTATTAGATCCCTGTACGTCTTAAAGCTTTCTGTCAACTTTCTGTATCCCTCCTTTCAACATCACCTCGTCATCTGCTGATGATCGGGTTTTTATTGCCAAATGAGCTCTGCTGACTTTACATGTTTAGTCCATTATTCCTGTACCTGTGTGGACATTTAGTTCACAGCAAACGCCTCCTTTAGTTCCTTAGAGACAATAAAACCACCAGTAACTTCATCCAGAGCTGCCCTCCTTCTGTTGGTTGCACCCTGTTGTTGTTATAGTGGGCGTGCATGTTTGTTGTCTGGATGTTATCTGAGACCGAGATCTCTATTAAAATAGGACAAATGTACAAATGTAAAGTAGAATACCTTTAAAGAGAAATATTTAATTTTATAGCTTTTTATTATTCAGCATTTCTCTTAAGTTCTGGATTGACTGATGGAAAAAAAAAGTCATATTTTTTTTCTTTGTCGTGTTTGCATGCAGGAGTGGTCTCCTGATTCAAGCCGCACCATCAGCCGTAAGGAGCGAGGAGGAAACTCTGAGGAGAATGTGGTCACCCTCACCAACATAGTCTCATCGGGTGGAGGAGACGTCCCGCCCAGTCCCATCACCATGGATACGAGCAGGTAAATAATTACGCAACTAATAACCACAATTTACAAGGGGTGTTACATAATAACGGCATTAGTAACAGAGTTCTGTTTTCAGTTACTGAGTAATCTAATTCTTTTTCCTATATTGGTAACAGCGTTGTCTTAATTCCAATCTAATGTAGCACATTGCTGCACCTTGATGAGTCAAGTTGACTTTTCTGAAGCACCGCCTCCTACAATGAGGAAAGAAGGCGTTCTTCTTTCCTCATACACCGTGTCATTTTGTATACATGGTGTATACTAAACAAAATTTTATTTTGAACAGCATTCATGACATTTTCATTTCTTAAAGTGCAGCAGTGGTCATATGTAAACAGTGTGGGAGAAAAAAAACATGGTGTACAAAACGCATTGATTTGGAAGTTCAGAGCATTAAATATATATGATGCAATTATGCAGAGTTTTGGTTTGGTGTTGCATTGTGATGCAGAGTCTGTGATTTTGAGTTTTTAAAACAGTTTAGCAGTCTGATGGCTGTGCGGAAGAAGCTGTTTTGGAATCTGTGGATCTACATCAAAATGCTGCAAAGCCTCTTCACAGAGGGCAGTAAGGAGAAAAGTCCATAGTGGGGGTGTGAGGGGTCATTGGTAATGTTATGGGACAAGCAGCGCTTGGATGAAATGTCTTTTATGGATGAATAAGTAGCCCCAATGATCCCATATTCTGTTCTTACCACTCTTCTCACCTTCTTCCAGTCTGAGGCGCTATAGCCTCCACACCACACTGTGAGACAGCTGGTCAGAACGCTCTCTATGGTGCTTCCTTAGATGGTTGTGAGGATAGGTGGGCTCTCCTCATCCTCCCCAGGAAGTACATGCGCTTCTGTGCCCTTTTGACCAGTGAGGTGGTGTTTACATTCCAGGTGAGGTTGTCTGTGATGTGCACCCCTAGAAATTTGGTGCTGTTGACCACCTCTACAGCTGAGCTGTTGATGACCAGTGGAGCGTGGTTTGGCCGTTCTCCCTGAAGTCCAAGATGATCTCCTTCTTCTTCTCCACATTCAGGATCAGGCTGTTATCTTTGCACCAGTCCACCAGCTGCTTCACCTCCTCTCTGTAGTCCTGGTCATTGTCGTCTCTGATGAGGCCTACCACTATGGTGTCGTCTGCAAAATTCACAATGTGATTGGTGGTGAACCTGGGGACGCGGTCATGTGTCGTCATAGAGAAAAGCAGGTGGCTCAGGACGCAGACCTGAGGGAAGCCTGTGCTCAGGATGATGACATCAGAGGTGTTCTGTCCAACCCAGACTGACTGAGGTCTGTTGATGAGGAAGTCTAGCAGCCAGATTCAGAGGGCTGTATTGAAGACCAGCTTTTTCAGTTTGCCCATCAGATGATGGTGTTGAAAGCTGAACTGAAGTCCAGGAACAGCATCCACACGTGAGTGTTCTTCTCCACCAAGTGTGCCAGGCTCAGGTGGAGAGCAGCAGAGATGGCGTCCTCAGTGGAGCGGGTCGAATGTTGGCGGCAGACTGGAGACGTTCTTTAACCAGCCTTTCGAAGCACTTCATCATGATGGGAGTCAGTGTGACAGGCTGGTAATCATTGAGTGAGGTGACCTGAGGCTTTTTTGGGACCGGAATAACGGTGGCAGACTTGAAGCATGCTGGCACTATGGATTGGTCCAGCGAGGGGTTAAAAATGTCTGTGAATGACACCAGCCAGCTGACCCGAACACTCCTTAAAAACCCGCCCAGGTATGTTATCGAAGCCTATTCGAGGCACAGTGAGGTGATTGGCTGAGGGGACATAATGTAGGTGGGTGTTCAGCACGTGATGTTTGCTCACACTGAGGGGAGATGCGAGGCAATGGGGGAGAGATCTGCAGATTCAATGGCAGCGTTTCCAAAGGAAAGGCATTCTCTGAAGGCAAAGGTTAATCTTTCTATTTCAGGGAACAAAGGTTTTATATCCACATCTGTTGCAACCTTCTCTGATCTAATGCAGCACTGACGGACGGCTGGCTGCCTTTGTTTATCAATATATGGACTTCTGTTATTTATTTATTTTCCACAGATATACTGGAAGACGTTCCTGTTTTTTCTGTATTTTTTTTTCTGGAACTGTTTAACTTCACACAATTTTAATTCAGTTTAGTTAAGTTGCTTGAATATAATTAAACATAATTTGATCGTTGATATGAATATATTGCAGTTCAGTTTCTTGGTTGACCTTCCCTCCAGACTCACCTAAATGGTAGATTAGTAGAGACTGTTTTCAGACATGTATTCCCTTTTCATTAGTGATTTAACTTATTAATTAATATGAAACCATCTTTTTGATTATTAAACTCACGGTTGTATGAAAGTAACATAAAGTCATCTGAATAACTCAGTAACTTTTTCAGAGAAATAACTAGTTGCTTTTTTAGGTAATGTTGCCAACACTGTTTATTGTTTCCAGCCAGTATGGAATTTCTGTCTTTCGGGTTAATTCCATTTCAAGTTTCTGGTTTTGTCCAAGTTTGAAAATCTGTTTATCAAGTTGAAGAATTTGGAGATGACCAAAAACTTATATAAGCCTCAGATAGGAATTGCATCAATGCTTGGGTCACAGCCTAGCATCATCAGGGATAGAGGGCTAATGAGAGAAATGTATGTCTGGAGGATTGCTCATGTGGGGTCTATGACGACAAACGAAACAGCTTTACTCGTCATTAAAGATGAACTATTTATGTTGCACATCTGAAAAATACAATAAAATATTTCAGTTTTATAATTTGGATTATTGGGTGAGTTGGACGGCGCCCTTGCGCCCTCTACTAGCCAGCTGTCACTGGTACTAGCTCTGGATCCCACAAACTCTTGACTAAAAGCCTTTGAACATTGAATGAGATCAAAGGAGTTCCCTTTGATTTTTCCATCAGAATGTTCAGGAGGGTTATTGTGATATAAGCTAAGGTTTTGGAGTCCTCTGTCCACCATTTTAAAGGAGGATCATAGTGTTCATCAACAACAGACATATGTTAGCAGCAGTTTGCATGAAGCCTCTGCAGTGGGCTGCTTTGACTGGCACAGAGGACGGATGGCATAGAGGAACTGCTGATCTTGAAGAACTAGTGAGTCAGTGTGAGGTTGGATTGCATCCGGAAATAAACATTCTGTGTAAACAGCCTGTTGTAACTTGGCCAAATGGGGACTTTTTATAGAGTTTTCCACTTCATTTTAAGGAGTTCACCTTTCCTCTGAGGCATGCACAGATTTACATGTTCCACGTTTGATTTAAGAGTCGCCTGTGGTTGTTGTTTTTTGTGAAGCTTTAAAACAGCATGTTTCTGTGGGCTGTTTAGTCCAGACTGAACAGAAGACTACAATTATCTCTAAGCATCCTGTGGGTAAGTGAGTGAGTGAGGCAGCATAGTTCACTTCTGTTGGACCTGGTCGTCTCGCCTCCCTGTGGAGGTTTTTAATCCTGAACAAAACGGTCTCTAATGAGAAGCTGAAAACTAAGGTTTTATCCATGTGTTACTCATTCTGGAAAATGGTGCATCTTCCTTTTCTTTGTAAGGATTATAAATATGAGTTAAAGAATGTTAAGTAGATAAATGCAACTGGGATGGAGCTGTTTGGTTTTCTCAAAGTTTCATCTTAAAGACACTGTCTCTTCCAGGTGTGTTACTCTGGAGTTTTTGTGTGAGCTTTAAGCAAAATTGGGGGGAAAAAAAAACTTAAAATAAGGCAAACAGCAGAGGTTGTGTTCTACTCAACCTGCACAAGATTTTCTTGTGTATTAAAATGATCTTGATATATAGTTCCTCAGAAATTTCTCAAGAATGTCTTTTCTATGCAGTTTCAGAGCTACGTATCTAAAACTGTATTTTTATTTTTGCACATGAGATGCAAAGCTTTATTTAAGCCCAGCCAAGCTGTGTTATCTTCACCTTTAAATGTCTTGTTTTTAGCTTCAGAGCTCCAGGAAAGCTCAAGGTTCTCTGGATGACGGACCTACTTGTTTTTTTGTTTTTATTTTCATCTCGACATTTAGGATGAAAGATTATTCCTCAGACTGGTCAGATGAGGAGAGTCCGAAGAAGGTGCTAGCTGTGAACGGCGTGGGGGAGGCGGACGATAAGGAGGAGCAGGAACAGGTTGAGGGGGTGCCAGTGAGAGCGCTCTATGATTACACGGGCCAGGAGTCGGACGAGCTCAGCTTTAAAGCAGGTATTAACCCCAACTAATGCTTTTCACCCTCTAACCAGCATGTTTCAGAATAATTTATGCTAAGAAATCATATTTTAAATTTTTTTTTTGTGACCCTGTCCATAACCAGATGCACACTTCTCCCTTGGATGCCTTTCATAATGTTTTCATAGCTCATTTTGAACATTAGTGGTGATGCTTTAAATCAATCTGATGGGCTTAGTTGTTTTTTCTGAGTTACAGAAACATTCCAGCCGCTCGAACAGCGAGTGTGCAGGACGACTGTGCAGTTTTTGCTTCATTTCTAACACTTTTAAGTTGAAGCATAAACTAGCAAAGCTTTTTCTTGAAATGTGTTGCAGCAAGAAATGACCATATTCGGAAGAAAGGGAGGGAGTAACAAGTTAGCAATTCATCTTAACATTTCACTAATAATTAGTAATCAATTTAGATAAGCAAGGACGGACGGTTGGGGACACACACCACTGATGCCCCAAATTACATAAATGATGTCTTATAAAAGGACTTCAGATGAAAGCCATACATTTTTAAATGCAACAGTATAATTTACTTATGATGAACATTTTTTTAGTCATTTTAGTTTATGCTCCTTTTCATATAACAAAAAGCTTTATTAATTACCTTAATCAGTGTTTTCTGTTTGCACTAAAACATCAAACCTTAAATATTTTGCAAGCCTGAGCTCTAGACCAACAACTGTCCCAGGTATAATGCTACGTTCACACCGGATGCGCTGGTTTTAAAAAAAGCGCCTGCTGCTTGATTTTTTATGCTTGTCCACATTAAGGTCAGACGTGCCTCAAGAGCCTCTTTGACTCACCTGAAGCGTGTCCAGAAAAGTGTGCACAGATGCGTCTGCTTCTGGGTTCAATGGCACAAAGTGGCCTTGCTATATTTGCTGTGATCAGTAGGTAAAAAGTAGTTCTAATATATTTTAATGCAAGAAACTCAACCTCAAAACATAATCTTTGCAGTCATTTCATCAAGATTATGATTTTTCCATAAAATATTATTTTGCTTTTGGAGGCGTGCACACCCCCACATTCCAGCGGTGCACTGTAACTGAGAATCCCCAGCAGCAGCTGCCTCAGGCCGGGTCGCCTCTGGAGGGGTTTCTGCTACCGTTGGTGGTGGCTGGAAGTAGATGTTAGTTTTTTTCAGGTATGTGGTACAAACTGCAGGCACCACATTATATTTTGCCGGCAGGTTTCAACATTTTAAGTTAATTGAAGAGTTAATAAACTGCTTCAGGGGAGTGATGATAGCACTCTGCATCAGCAGTGCTGTTTCTGTATCCCTGCCAGCTTATAGATCTGATTGGTTGATGTGGTATGTCGAGCAGCAAAATTTATTTTTAAGCTCCATGATGCTCAGAAGCTTTATGAATCGCAGCTTTGGCTGCTCAGATGTGTCAAGATGCGCTGCTCCTGCTGCTCAAAACATGCTGCACGACTTTTGATGCGCCTTTATATGTTTCAGCCATTTATTTTGCATTTAAACCTGCTGCTTCTGCTGCCCAAATCACGTCTGGTGTGAACATAGCATTACAGTTCTGAAAGATTTGGTCTTTAACTGCTACAACAATCTGTGAATCATAGAGGGGTCGCGATCATTAGGTGTTCTTACAATAGGTGTAAGATTTGTATTCCTGGATTCGAAAATGCCAACTGAAGAAAAAAATCCCCATTTTTATTTAATGCTCTTGCAGACAAAGAAGCAAAGACGGTTTTTATAAATAGTCAAAACATTTTTTAGTATTTCTCTGTGACTAATAATTGCTTATATTGTTTTGTAACCATTTCATAAGAAAAGTTTGTTTTTTGAATCCTCCCAGCAGGTGTTTATAAATGCTGCTTGGATTGCATGTAAAACCAGTTTGTAGAGTTATTTTTTTTGTAAGTAGGAAATTATGTTTATTTTTGTGTAAAACATTATTAAACTAGAAAATCCCTCTGAGATTACAGACCTCTGCCATGCAGCTTTATTGCCCCCATATTGTGACTTCCACCTATAGCTAATATTTGATATGATTTTTTTGATCTAGAACAGGTGTCACCAACCTTTTTAAGGCTGAGAGCTACTTCATGAATCCTGGGCTACCAATACTGACCTTTGAACTGGAACAGTCAGCGTTCACCTAAACTTTATACATATTAACATATTTTTAGTGTTTCTTTTAATTGCTAATTTTGTTTTATATATTTTCATTTTGAAATATGTATAAATGCTTAAATACTTTTTATGGATAATATGATGAGATGCTCTGAAATCGTATTGATACTGTTGGTCTTTAATAACTTATAAAGGTAGCATACTTGTGAGTTGTGCTGTTTGCAGAAGAAGGCCCCCCATGTGGTGTTTGAGGGCCCGTTGGAACCCACGGATACAGCGTTGGTGACCCCTGATTTAGAAGTCATGACATTGTAAAAAGGAGTTTTTATCAGTAGCTGCTTATAAATCCTGCTTTAAACATTCTATACACATCCAGTTAACTGGGTTGATTACAAATACAGATCATTAGTAGGAATTGTTCAGTATTGTGAACAGCAATCTCAAATTCTGCATTTTTGTAACGAGCAGTTTAAATCTCAAGCTGGTGTTTATAAATCCTAATTGAATCAGATTTGTTTTCTTGTTTTCAATGAAACTCAGGTTTTACTTTTCCCTCAGATTGATGGAGAGCATTCCCACGCTATAACGGTCTGCTGAGGACCCTTTAAATAATATCATCTGGTGTATATCCAGTATTTTGGTGGTAAAATAGGTTCCTAAATGTTCTATCCTTGTTAAGTAGAGATTAGAAGGTGCAGATGCAAGTCAGCACAGTAAGAAACAACTACGGCTGTTTTTCTTGGCCTTGTTAAATCTGCAGCTGGGGTTTTCTACATCTACAATCAATCTGGATGCATATCGGCAGTTAGGTTTATAAATACAAACCAGATGTTGGAATTTAACGCTTTCTAAAAGTCCTTTGTATTGCACCATCTGGTGTTTATATATCCAGAATATATATAAATATATATAACCCCCCCAAAGAGGGGATTGCACTTTGACTGAAAGGGATGTTTTTTTTTTTATCTTAATATTCAGTTATGGAAAATCAAAGTGTCTCTTCGTAGAACCATGTAAGAACCAGGTCTACCACTAGGGGTGCTCCGTCAGAGTGGCTTTAAGTTTTCAGTGAAAACCTACGTCTTTGTTGAGAGGGGATTTTTTCTGTGATTCTGCTTTAAAAGGTCAAGCAATGCTTTTTTTATTGTAAAAGTAAAGAGCTTTCCACGTGTTGATATAAAACTGCCACTTAAAAAAAATATGTATTCCCTGGGTTCCTCCCTTAAAAGCATTTTTATGAGACTCTGAAAATGGAGGAAGTGCTGAGGTTTGCTTTGGAAACGGGTCCGGAAAATGTTTCAAAGAGAGAAACAAGGAGAATTGTAAAGAAGCTGTATTATAGTTGAGTTGCAAATATTAAATGTTTTTTTTTTTAACTTGTCAAAAAACAACAGAATTTCTCTGTGGGTTAAATCAGTTGTCTAAAGTTGAAGCAGTTGGCCTGTTTTTCTGTGTCTTGCCTTGTTAGTCTGTCCTCTGCTTTGGTCAGTGGAACAAAATCAATAGAACATAATGATACTGCATCTTATTAGTAACTGTTAAACCTGACTGACATAAGAGGAACTAACCTGTGCCTTTTTTGTTTTTGTCATAAACCATTTAGAACCAAATATTCTCTCTGTTCTGTATTTAGTCAGAGATCATCTCAGTAAATCTGTCTGGTGTGCACTAGTGTGCTTAACTTTCATCTCTATTCTTCAGGCGAGGAGCTGCTGAAGCTCGGAGAGGAGGACGAGCAGGGCTGGTGTAAAGGGCAGCTGAAGAGCGGCCAGGTTGGCCTTTATCCTGCCAACTATGTCCAGGCCATCACTTCCTGATGGCTCTAGCTGCTCAACTCGGCCAATTAGGAAGCTGCAGTCGGCCTGCCAGGAATCACTGAAAGCATTCAGTGACAGCCTGAGGATGTCTTTGCAAAGGAAGTGACTGTTTCAGGATACCCGTTGCAAGCCTGTCTTTACTGTCATTTGAGCAACACTTGACTCTTCGGTCGAACGAAAGAAAATCCTCCTTTTGAGATATTCAGTTAAACTCATTTGACAGAGGAGAGAACAGAACTACGCTGCCAGCAGTCATTCAGCACTACTAGGAAAAGCAGAAAGGCAATTTTTGCCGTATTTTCTAACTGGAAATATTTAACTCTGTACTTGGATACAAACAATCAACAGCAAGTAACGCACCATAAACTTGGCTTTTCTTTTCATTCTAGCCATTTGAACATTCTGCAAAATGTATACCAGGTTGGAATGAAAGCTCAGTCCAGCTCACATGGGGCTAGGACTTGCATAGCTTAGCATAGGAGCAGTCTAACTATGCTAAGCTCCTCTGTTTATTGCAACATCCAATTTGAGAAGCTTTAATTTGAAATGTAATCATTGCACATTTCAAACATGCCTATGTGAAAGTTTTTATCCTCATTTACCAGTATTACCTGGAGCCCCTAGTGGTCATCAGAGTAACTGCATGTTCAACATATTCCTCCTTTTTTTTTTGTCCCTGGATGATAATCTTTAAAGTGTTTTCTCACAAAAATGGTTCTGACTCAGTATTTCACCCTCAGTAAGTTGTAAAGAGAATGGCTTCAGTTGGAGGGAGAAAAAGTGAATTCCTGCAGACTAACTGGATGTAAAAGTAAAATATGACAAAGAGTTTTCTTGGAAATGTTATCTCTTATCCTTAAGTCTCCAAAATAGAAAAGTTCTGGTATCTGGTGAGGGCAAGATACTAATTATTAATAACTGGCCTACTGAACCCTGTTAAAGATATTCCTTTGAGATGAAAAGCCAAATTGCAGACTGTCAGTGCCTTAGATTAGAGGCTAGAAATGTGCCCCGCTGTTGGGAATCACATCCTACAAATACACAGCATGGCGCCTCTGTTTAAACGATCTATAATTTTCTGGAAATGTGCTGGCCTCCGTTCTGTTTGAATGAAGAACTACATCCCACATACCGACACCTCGGGCCATCACAAACCATTTTGGAAATGTGCACACCATCATAATTTGGCTGATTCCTTACAGCCTGCTGATGAACAGCGCCGCCCTACAGTTTGGCCAAAGAATTGCATCTGGACTCATTAAAGTGACCAACTCCACTGCTCTGCTGTTGAACAGAGACACCTGGTAGAGCTTAAATTGGACTTTGCAGTGAGCACCTGACTGGATTCTTTCCTCCCATTTCTTTAACGTGTTTGTTTTAAGTTAGTTGTTCTAGCTATTCTAGGTTTGGATGTGACTCTCTTTGTTTTTTTAAATGATAATAATAATATTAAGAGCGATTTGTTTATATTAGCTTCTGACAGTTTAAATTGTTTTTAAAAATGTTATTTTTTACAGTGTCAGTCGGTTTCCTTTTGACTCTTCCTCCATGGGGACAATTGTGACCAGTGAGAGAGGTTTCTTTTTAAAGTCTGGCTGTGAACACAACACATTGACCTCAGTCAGATAACACAAGTATAGATTTTTATTGTATACTCTTCTATTCTTTTTGCTTTAATTTTGGGGGGTTGTTTTTTTCCATGTTTAAATTGTTTTTCTGAGGAAAGCTTCCTCTGTCCTGCTGATCCAAGTACATCTAAAGCTAACCTGCATACATGTTTAAATTCTAATGAGAGATAAGAGAATGTGTGAGTTCCTGCTCGCTCTTTAAGTCTTTCCTACAGTGTAGCATGTACAGTATGTAAGATTGGAGAAATAAACCAAGCTTGCTGCAGTTGAAGATCTTTTCAGGCTGTTCTTCCTTTACTGAGGCGTGTTAAATTATTTCTTCTGATTTATCCGGCCATTTTCAGTCTGGTGTCTATCTCCAGCTGTCTACGGGCAATAGGCGGGGTTCACCCTGGACGTGTCGCCAGGGCAACACGGAGATACAACCACACACTCACACCTAAGGAGAATTTAGAGAAGTCAGTTAACCTGACAGTCATGTTCTTGGACTGTGGAAGGAGTACCCGGAAAGAACCCATGCATGCTCAGGGAGAACTCCATGCAGAAAGATCCCTGGCTGGGAATCGAACCAGGAACCCTGCTGCAAGGCAGCAGTGCCACCCACTGTGCCAATGAGCATCCCTTCTTCTGATTTAACTGATGACAAAATGCTGTCTAACAAATACCTTTTTCTTTTGGCCCTGAGTTATCCCAGGAAAAAACAAACTTCTCTTTTGAAGTAAAAAAAACAAAACAAACCGAACTGAATATGAGACGCCTTTCAAAACTATTCACACCCCGTTAACTTGTCACAGACGTCTATGTTTTTAAATTAGCTTGTACGTGACAGAAAATGAAGTGCAAAGTTTTAAGACGAAAATGATTTTGGAATCGAAACCATCAGGCAGTGATGTGTTTTACCTCTTTAACACTGATGCCACTAAAAAAAACCCAGAGCATCCAGTTGAATTAAAAATTTATTCAAAAGGGAGGTGACAGTTTGAGCTAATCTTGGTATGGTTTCATCTGTTGTGTTAAGGACTCAGAGGTTGGAAATCAGAGAACCAAAGTATTTTGTATTTTTTTTTTATTTATTATTTTTTTTTTTTACACCGGTCTTTTTGGGTCTGCAAAATTTGTTGATAAACAAAAAATAAGATGCCACATTTATTAAGATGAACTCTCATTTTCCTCCCACTTTTTATTCTTCAGAGTTGCATTATGTCCATACAGTCTCTGAGCCTTAGCCTCTGATCCTCTCCAGCCATATTCCCGGCGTGTGAATTAAAGGTTAGTCCCTTCTAATGGCAACATGTATTCAGGGGGTGGATGCCGGATGCAATCTGGTAATTGTGCTTCATGATATGGTGCAACTCTGGGATTAGATTTTAAAATGAATTTCCTAAGCTTTAAACATTTCACTAAGCTTTTACTTAATCCATCATGCAACCATACAAAGGTGATTATCAGTAATGTGTGATTGATAATTTTTTATTGAAAATGAAGATAAAAATAGTTGTCATATTTTTAATCAAGGAACCGAAGTGCGTTTCAAGAGTGTTTTTATTTTATTTTAATTTGACAGATGTAGCAGATAATTTTGAATACCACTGATTTACCTTTTCAGGTGTTCTTCCTGTTTGCTTTGCATGCAAACACAAAGGTGATGAACACAGGAAGGTGAGTCACCAGAGATCCATCTTTTGACAGATAGTTTCAATACCTTTTAATTAGTAATGACTCATTGAGTCATAATACAATGATAATTCTGTTGGCTATTTTTATCACTGTCTGACTGGAGGAACTGCACTAATGTTAGTTTTTCTGCTGGTGTCCCTCTGGCCTTTTCGATGAGCTGGCATTTTCTGCTATAGAACACTGTTTTGATGCCCCCTGTTGGAGAAAAGAGGATAAAAAAATAAATAAATCAATATATATAAATATAATTTAAGGGCATGTATATGTGCGTGTAAAAGTTTTGGGTTTGATTCCCTACCAGTGGTCTTAGAATTTGCATTTTCCAGCATGTGTCGTTTCTCTCCTCTCCAGGTTCTCCGGTTTCCTCCAACAGTCCAATATTAATGACCTGATCGGTTTAATGGCTTCTCTAAATTATGTGCGGGTATGGTGGTACGTCTCTGTGTTGTCTTGTAACAGACGGATGACCTGTCCGGGGTGTACCCTACCTCTCAACCATACCCCTTCCAGGGGTCTATGTATCAAGACAGAACTACTGATAGTGTCCCCAGTTTTAGAGGTTATTGCTGTAGACCATATAGGTGTGATACCACAACGTACAATTTACAATACCTTAGCAAGGACCTCAGAGAAGCAAATGTTACAGCTCACTTTGGGAGGGATTAATAAGAAAATCTGCACCATTTGACATCTACAAATTAGGAGTGGCTGAATGCCAGCAGATTTTTGCCCTAGGTCAGTCCAGAGCAACAGAGCAAAGCCCCAAGAACTCCACCTCAAAAGTATGGCTTTTCAGAGTTGAAAGATTAAGCTTTGCCCTTTGAATGTGGCAGCACACTATCTGAATAAATCGCAATACCTCTGGAGCAATAGTATTTGAATGGTAAGACTGGGGATGGAAAGTAAGCCAAGTATATCACTAGATATTTCTTATTTGGAACATATATTTACGATATTGGTATAAACAAGATAAAATCCTCAGTGGGACTACCAAAGATGCCCACAATTTTACCAATTTTATAAAACCCCACAATATAACATTTTAGAAGCATTTGCTTTAAAAGACAAAACATAAAACCTGGAACATTGGTCAGTGAAGAATGCACTTAACTGTGAATATGGAAAAATGTTAAAATATATTTTGTATATCCTTAGATGAGAGGTTTAGCCATGATGCACAGCTCCTTGTTTGCAGAAAACTAGAAATGCAGCAAAAAAAACTATGGCTGAATCCCAAACCGCCCCCAAAACGCTAACCCTCCATTTGCAAGTTAAAGAGAAGGGAACCGTGCAGTGGGTACACTGAGCTCCATTTTTATAAATATAAAATATATAAACTGTTTCTGTTTGACACTCTAGTGAGTCAATAGTCAACCCTTTTGTATATCCAGGCATTCTAGTCCAACAGGGGGCAATCGGACACCCAAAGCTCATCACAAACCAGGCCACCAACAGGGACAATGATCTCAAGTTCAGCAGCAAATCTACAGGAGAATAGATGAAGAAAATCAAGTTGTTTAATGGGCTAACAGGAATTGTTGATCTAAAAGATGTCTGCAAAAAAAAAAAAGATCTGAAGTAATGATGAAAGGGAGGCAAAATCCCTCTGATATGTGTCTGACAGGGAAAGTCTGTTTTACACTAAAGTTTGGAAACAGTGTTATGCTTTCCAAAACTAGGTTATAATCAGATTTTAAAACCTGATAGAGATCATACTCCGCAGTAAAACATGGTCCCTGTTAAACTAATTAGATCCTAGAGGACACAGTTAAACACAAAGAAGAAGAGGCCTAAAAATGAGCAGTGAGTAACCTCAGACATCAACAAAGAAACCTTTTTTCTGTTTCTTTTCAGAGCAGTGAAACCTATCTGGAAAATATTACTTTATAAGAATCTAATTATAGAAAATTATTTGAGACCAATATCTGAAAACTGCAGACATTTTTTTATTAAATTGACAACTTTAATCTGTACAGCAAAATCAGACATCACAATAATAAATCGGTTCTTCATATTACATGGCATATGAAAAAAAAACTGCACACCATTTAACTGTAATATATGTAATCTGTACAAGCTGAGAATGAAAGACAAAATCATAAAGCAATGGACAGGTAGCTTCCTCCTGGGGTTGTTTAACTGGCTGTTGGCTGAGAATACAGACCAGCATACATGCTACACATTCACTTCATTCCTCTGAGAAATTCATTTAAAAATATTAGCAATGAGAATTCGGATTTAAGCAACATTTAAGTCTGAAAATCAAAATCTTTTTTACATTTTCATTGACTTAGATTCTATGACTTAGAATGATTAGGAGCTAATTGAAAGGTCAAAATGATTTACATCATGGTGAATATTTGAAAACCTTCATCTAGCTTTTGGTTCAATCCTGCTTTTAATGACTCACTGAGAACCTTTCTCCTTTTAGAGCTTCCATTATTTTCATTGGCCAGAAGAAATATTTTCCCACTCGCTCAAAACAAAGTGCAACATCATCAGCAAATCAGTTCAACAATAAATTAGAGACGGTAAAAAAAAAAAAAAAAAGTGCAATGAAATTAGTGTCTATAGTAAATGAAATGGAGTCGCTCATGAAGGCCGGCTTGAAGTCATATAAGCAAACAGGTCGTTTCTATGGAGTTTCATGAGATGTGCTCAAAGTTTAACAGATAATTTGCCAAAAACCTTTTGAGAATTATGCAGCAGCTGTTAACAAAAAATAAGTTCGCAAGAAAAATACCAAAAATAAATCATCAGGACTGAAGAGTCCAGAAGTAGCAGTCCTTGGTCACAGCGACAGCGTTCATCTAGAAGTTTAAATATACTGAACGGAGGCGTCGTCTCCGACGATCCGTACTCCGAGTTCAAAGAAGTCCAAACGGAGGCCCAAGCATTTGGTTTTCTACAGAAGGAGGGGGTTCGGATGTGGTGTTGGCACTGTTAACGTCAGCTGTGTTACAGACCAGACAGCTGAGGGAGATGGAAGAGGAGGGGGCCAGCAGTCTGTTCTGAAGCTGAAGCGTTTACCGGTCCTTCAGCTCCCTCGTCACTCGCTTCGTGATCCGACCGCATAGCAGCCCCACCAGGAACAGGACACACACGCTCAGAGCGATCATGAGCAGGATGTAGTTCTTGGAGGGCGATGTCATCACTTGTATGGCAAGGTCTGAGAAGCCCTCTGCTGGCGCCACCTGCAGGTCATACAGGAAAACAGCAATGACTGAGAAAATATTTAATCAAGGAGTTGATGTTAAACATACAAGTCATGTTTAAAGCTTTATTAAAGATATAGTGGTGGATGTTCTTTTTCTGGGTGGATCATCAAATTAAATGGTCCTAATTGTCAATCATTCTGGTGATATGTTTATGCGAGGCCGTCCTACGTGCTCGTCCCCATTTTCACCCAACCCTACGCCGAGAAATACCTCCCCTCTCGCCCAGTGAATAAAACAGATGGAAATATGAACAAAAAGGGAACCTTTAAACATTATCTCACTATTTACATATCTCTTATCGTGGATTCCCTGAAATTGAGAGTTTTTGGTGGACAGATGCATTCGAATGAATATGATTCTTACTTGTATGGAGACA